GGCACCTTCAGCGGGCTTTTCGTCGGTAGTTGGGCCTGAAGGAACATCGACATCCATCAAGTCAAACTTTATCTTCTTATCTGATGGTGCTCCGAGTTCGTCGCCAGCTTCTTTACCGCGGATTTCATCGAGGATGGCACGTTGACCGGCTTCGACCATCTCCAGTTCCACAAGATTGCGCGCATCGTCATCTTCTGCGACTCTCCTCCAGCGGGTAACCCAGACGGCCTTATCGCGGTTGGTGACTAGTTTAGCAACAAGATCGGGATGGTCATAGTCGAAGAGTTCCATGAGGTCATTCTCAACATCACGCAAGGGTTTTAATGTTCCGTCTTCTTCCTTTCCACCGAGAATTTCAAGTGCCTGATCTGTTTTCTCGTGCTGAATATGAGCATCTGTGTATATGGCACCGATCTGACGCTGTAGCCAGTAAGCATCGATTTGGCGAGCGGAGACCTTCAATCCGGTCTTCTCTGCCGATTTATCATCTCGGCCAAGACCTCCATCGATGACCATTTCATCTCCATCTTCTCCTTGTGCTGCTGCTGCATCGTCGGCTGCGAGTCGTTCTGCTTCCTCTTCTTCTTCTTCGTCACTGAGCTCATCCTCGTCTCGAACTTCGTCCATGGTGCCCATGCGCTCGTCATCTTCATCTTCTTCATCGAAGACGACAGCAACACCCTGGCGTTCATCAAGTTCACCACTTTCTTCCTCAAGGCCGCCTTCCATCTCTTCATCTTCGTCCTGGGCATCGTAGTCTGTAATCTTTTTGCCCAGGTTCACGAGTTCGTTGAACTCCTTAGGGTTCATTGAGGTCCCCAGAAGATCATCGATCTCCTTCTTTTTATCGAAATCCTTCATCTCTTCGTCCTTCAGTAGTTCCAGAACAGCATCGGCGGCACTTCGGACGACTTCGTGGGGGACATCGCCCAGCTGGCTACCGGTAATTGTGAGAATAAGGTCATACGTGGCTCGTGTGGCGGGTGTGCGAGGACGGTATTTTAAGCCTTCGACAAAGGCATCAGCTGCTGAGAGGATGCCCTGACCTCGTAGTTGTGCTGGTTGGCCGCGGTGGCGCTTTTTCTGTTCGCGTAAAAGCACATCTTCACCCTCACCAATTGCGCCCCGCTCGAGAGCTGTTGGGGCTACCTTCTTAGATTTGGGGGCGTCATCACGCGCGACTCGTGCACCCATCTCCCGGATCCCAATACGACCAGCCAGAGACTCCGGGTCTCCTGTGGGTTCGTCATGGGTGCGACTGATAAAACGACGGTCCGCCTGGAGAACCAGGTTGGACATCGCCGAGTACTTGTACTGCGAAATATTTTGGTCCGCCATCTTGGTGGTTGTATGGCGAATCAATGGAGAAATAAAGATGAAAGAATGAGTGAGTCGCGACAAGAATCTGCGGAGGGTCGAGATTCAGGCCGCGCCGAGACACGAAATGTCGGCGATTGATCGATTTTAAATGGTCTCACAAACCTGACTCATCCTCCTGCCGCAAGTAATGTCACTTAAAGGAGAAATATCACCCAAGGTTGTAGATAGATGAAGCCAAGGAGAGTGCAGCTCGGGAAGATTTCGGTGGCGAAGGCGGAAGGAGGGGAGCTTTGATAGTTCTGCCACCCCAAACGGTTTGGAGTTTGGAGCGCGTCGCAACAATGCGCCCGGGTCTATCTATTCCTCATTTGATGCCAATTTATATGAGGCCTTTGACGAATTTAATATCTTCGGCTTATCGTTGCCACATACACCGGACAATATGTCACCATGCGCGTCGAACATCTACACCCCCACGCAGCTCCACCGCCGCACCGAAAGCTCACGTACGAGGCGCGAAGACTAAAGCGACAGTAAAGTTGAAAGACCTTCCTCAAGGGGTTTTGAAACTCGAAACTTATGATGATCGGGTGGATGAGGCTCCTCGTTACCCGACTGTGGTGCAGGGGCACCGAAACAACATGCAGAAGTTCAAGAATTGTGTTATCCTGACCAGAGTCGGGGGCTTCTATGAGGTATGATGATAGACACTTACATGGCTAGAGGCTCCATGCTAAGGCTGCGCTCTGTAGCTCTATTTCGAACAAGCAGAGGAGATGGCACCATTGCTCAATCTCAAGCTCGCGACCAAAAAGACCAATGGCGGACCAGTCCCAATGGCTGGATTCCCCTTCTTCCAGCTCGATCGTTTTCTCAAAACCCTTGTCGGGGATCTCAACAAGTATGTGGCTATTAGTGAAGAGTTCGCCATTAATGCAGAAGACAAGGCACGCACAGGAGGCCTCCTGTTTGATCGAAAGGTTGCTAGGGTCATCACACCTGGCACGCTGATTGATGAGAAGTTCATTGATCCTTCCGAGCATAATTTCCTGTTGGCCATATACTTAGATGTCCCCTCTTTGCAATCGCAATTGAAGCAACATGCTGATAACGACCTCCAATCTTCGCATCAGCATGTATTGTCATCTGTGCCCCAACAAGTAGGATTGTCATGGCTTGACCTGTCAACTGGTGATTTCTTCACCCAGCTCACAACGACTCAAATGCTTCCATCCGCGATTGCCCGAATTGGAGCTCGTGAGATTCTGGTAGATCAGAATGTGCAAGACCTTATTGGACATGAATTGCAAATGCTTGTTGGACACGATCATCGCCTTGTCACATTTTTCCAATACCCGGGGGCATTTAAGCCAGTTTCTGAATGGGGGGCAATGTTAGAGTCTCCTGTTCCTGAACATGCTCGCGCCTCATTCACTCCGGAGGAAGTAGCAGCTGGGTACAGTCTACTCGAGTACACTCGCGTGCAGTTGCAAGGATCAAATATCAAGCTTCAGCCTCCCGTTCGAAGACATTTGAATGAATCAATGAGTATTGATCGTAATAGTCTGAGTGGTCTAGAGATTCTAGAAACAGCGAGAGACGGTTTTGGCAAAGGAAGTCTTCTACACGCTGTGCGAAGGACTTCTACAAAAAGTGGTGCACGGCTTCTACGAGACCGACTGAGTATGCCCAACTATGTCCCAAACATTTTTGTGTGAATTTACTAATGCATTACATGCAGCCTCTCCATCTACATCGTTACAAGTCATCAATGAGCGCCTTGACCTTGTTTCGGTATTCATAGAACACATGGAGCTCCGTGATAGCGTTATCCAACTTTTAAAGCGCAGCCATGATTCTCAACGCTTGGTCCAAAAATTCGCTTTCGGGAAAGGAGACCCGGATGACTTGATTTGTCTTTCTCGCGCCATTGAGGCTTCTAAGGAAGTCAGACAAGTTCTTCTGGATCACAATAGACTTTCGCTCTCAACCAACGCTTCAGGTTTGAATCAAAGTGTTGCTATCATGATCTCACGACTTTTTCTCGATGGTCCCATCGCTCTGGCGGATCAAATTCTTGCGGCCATTGATGAAGAAGGGCTGTTACAAAAGCAACGCATCGAGGATAGTACCGCCGCAGAGGCAGCTAACCTGGCACACAAAGTTACTATGGACGAAGCCACCTCCAGCGAGCTTGTAGTACTGCCGAAGAAGATCAGAGCAAAGAAGGGCGAGCGAACAGTTGTGGCTGATACAGACTCCGGTCCCCTCGATACCTGGATTATGAGACGTGATGCAAGTGTCATTTTGAATGGACTACATGTGGAACTAGAACGGTTGGGCGAGGAAAAGATTTCATTGACTCAACGTCTCCGTGATTCGGTTGATTCGTCAGCTCTGAGTCTTAAGTGGACGCCAGGGTTGGGCCATATCTGCCATGTCAAAGGAGCAAAGATATCCCAAAAATCCCTGGAAGACCTCGGGGTCACTCGAAATGTCTCATCGACCAAATCCACCCGGTCATTCTATCTACCAGCCTGGACAGAGCTAGGAGTCAAGATGGACCACGTGAAGATTCGGATCCGTCAAGAGGAGCAAGCCATCTTTGAACGTCTGCGCCGTGAGGTGATCCTGAACCTTGTCAAAATTCGCCGAAACGCGGCAGTCATGGATGAGTTGGACGTGGCGTGTTCATTTGCAACTCTCGCCCAGGAACAGCAAATGGTACGGCCGATTCTCAACGATGGTACTTGTCATAAGATTGTCGGTGGGAGGCATCCTACGGTCAAACTGGGCTTAGAGGAACAAGGACGATCGTTTGTGAGCAACGATTGCTTCCTAGGTGATTCCGAGCGGATCTGGCTCATCACTGGTCCCAATATGGCAGGTAAAAGTACATTTTTGCGACAAAACGCTTTAATTACAATCCTTGCGCAAGTCGGATCCTTCGTGCCCGCAGCTTATGCGGAGATTGGTATTGTCGATCAGATCTTCAGCCGAATTGGTGCAGCCGATGACCTCTTCCGTGACCAGTCAACGTTCATGGTGGAGATGTTGGAAACAGCTACTATTCTTAAACAAGCCACGCCCAAGTCATTTGTGATTATGGATGAAGTTGGCCGAGGCACAACACCCGAAGATGGCACAGCGGTAAGCTTTGCGTGCCTACATCATTTACACAACCACAACCAGTCTCGAGTGCTTTTCGCTACTCATTTCCATGCCCTTGCGGATATGACAGAGGACTTTGACAAATTGGCGAGATACTGCACGGACGTGAAAGACATGGCCTCAGGTGCCTTTTCGTTCGTTCACCGACTGCGGAAAGGCGTAAATCGTCAGTCTCATGCACTCAAGGTTGCTCAACTGGCTGGCTTGCCAAAAGAGACCCTCGACCTGGCTGCGCGAGTCCGTCAGAAAATGAGAGATGAATCACCCTCTCGAGTTGCTGATGAAGACCAGCCCTAGCCTTGAGGGTGAAATGTCACTTGTTGATATGTACTTGAAGGGTACTATGTATAATATCATGTACATTAGTTCGCTTTTTTCTGTTAAGATGCCACCAATCATAACGCGAGGTTGGCAAATTCTTCCTCGCATTTTGCCTTCAATACCACGTGTCTCAACTTCAACCCAAGAACCCAACCCTTGCTAGTTTTTCATTGATATGCATGGACAGATCAGAGCTTAGCCGACCACAGTCTCGGGCCCTTCTCAATCCGACCAAGTTGACCCTTCCGACCAAAATCAACAACAACGCCTTCCCCAAACGCAGCCTCCTGACAATCCTCATCACCAACTCCATTGACAAACTGCACAACAACAAAGTCAACCCTCCGGTGACCCAAAACCACCATAGGTGCATGCCACGTCCCAACACCATAAGTAACAGCTTGACCCCCACGGGCAATAAACGCCTTCACATTTTTCAGATCCGGCGGGTCACGGATTGTAATGGTCTCTCCGGCCTCGTTTTTCGCGGTAGCCGAGCTCCCTTTCAAAGTGGGTGCAACCACAACCAAAAACAGTGGCTCTTCCTCGCCATCCCCGACCTTGGAATGGGCCGATAGATCGACTGGAATGAAAGTCTGATTCGTAAACGGGTGGCGCTCGAGGATACGCACATCAAAGACCTCCTTATCCTGTAGCTGGGGGCCAGAGCTGACAGTGCGCAAAACGCGCGGAAAGCAGCAGAACATGGTCATGCGTGCCTCGGAGGGCTGGCCGCTTGGACAGACATTGGTGTAGCGATCGAGGAGCGGGGAGATGGGACTATACTTGAGAGCAGAGTTTTGATTTGCCAGGACCGGGGTTGGGTCGTGTGGCGGCAGGGATGATAATTGAGGAGCGATATTGAGTTGTCGTGGTAATGGTGAAACCACCGCTGTGCCAAATTGTGCGAAGTTTTCCGGCGTAAGAGGCTCTGGAGTGAGTGTGACTGTCGGGTTGGTCGAGAGGATCGGCGCCATAGTGCGCTTTTAGGTGTATGTGTGTGTGGATGGATGTGTTGTTCAATCACTTGGATTCCGCCACCGTCTAGCGTGCAGGTCAACAGGTCTATGAGAGGAAGTGAAAAGAAAAAAAAGAAATTGGATTGGATGTTGTTTAAAGCTAATGCGGAGATATCCCGAGGTCGGCGCGCTCCGGTGATAAGATAAGCGGCAGGGGCCGGGGAAGTATACCTAGGTAGGATATAATTATTCATTCTTCATTTTTATAGAGGACATTACTGGTGGAATAACATACATGGTCTATATTCCTCTGTTGGTTCCTGTTAGCGTCCTCGCTAACCAAATGGCGAGCTCCTCAGGATATCTTGCCGCTTAGCTCTGTGTCCAAGGGTGATGAAATACGCCAACTTCTGACGACAAAATTAAAATTGGCCCCTGCACCAAAGCGGGAACTGTTTCAAAAGACTTTCCACTGAAGTCCGTGCTGAGAACGGCTTGGAAAACTGCACCAATTCATTCATTTACCCAAAAGAGGCATCATCTCGGAATACATAGATACAATGTATGCGTGCGGGGAATCAGTCTCTTTCACCGTTATATCTATACATTTAGCCATGGCGGCTGCCTTTGATTGGCTCTTGGATATATCACGGTCGGTGTGGGAAGCGTAAATGCATTGTGTTTGGATGTACTCTGCAGCCCTGGAGTACTTGATCGGTTAGCACGGACAGATCTGAAAGATGCAAGACAACCAATCTAAAAAGACAAGATCTTTGCATATTTCAGTGGTTCGCACTTTATGCACAAGGCAACCGCGTTTTCCACTGGTTCTGACATATTTGGCCGTATTTGGTTATATTGGTTCCGGAGATGAGGCTCCAGAGACAACAAAAAAAAATATACTGGGCCGATACTCTCTGCACTACCTAACACTGGCCAATAAATCACATACTCAATCCTACCTCAATGACACGCGCGCAATGACGGCGGCAATAGCTATTGGTCTATTGGGTCCGCTCCTCCGGAACCGATTCCTAATTCAGTAGTTGCAATATAGCATTGGATGAAGTCCGCTCACCGGTGTTTGAAGACTCCCAGTGACATGAGATTCTTGATGCTGTCTTGGTTCATGCTATAGCGGTCGCTCAGATATAAAGCAACAGTAATTTCCTCATTTCTTGAAGAGTCGGCGCATTCCCCTTCTGATATTCAAAGGAGTCTACTCGTGCTTCAACCCTGCTTAAAATACCACAAACCTCTTCGAGCCAAAAGTACAAATTACCCTACGCAAACTCTATGTTAAACGCAATGGAAGCTTCAAATCAATCGTCCCCCCAGCAAATCCCTACTACCAACATGGGCACTGCCAGTCCTGCCGTTGCAAGCTCCTCCACTCCAAAGTCATCTGATTATACTTACACAGAACCGGAATTGAGGTAAGTCAAATGTTTATTATCCGCCTTCTTCCTTAATTGAGAACGATCATCTTACAAGAGACAACTCAAATAGTCGTGACGAAATGTTCGAACGAAACACCAACCACATAGGCGGCTGGGTCGGAGCAACCGACCTCAGCCGCCCAGAAGCATTCACATTGCCTAATTAGAGGCTAGGTCGACAGCCAAGCCCAGCCAGGAGTGGACTCCACAGCCAAACCAACGATGCGGGCATCCCACGGGTCTGGGAATCATACGTGCAGGACACGATGAGATGGTTTGGGTCCGAGGGATGCATTAATTTATCGACGAGCCCACTCACGCGAAGTCTGAGCACGACAATGAAATTTTTGGTCTACGCCTATTTGAAGCAATGACGCACTAATGTATGGCCTTGCGGTGGAAATCGGATGATAGGCTATTTCATTTCCTATTTCTTTTCAATTTCTTCATTTTTTTATTTTTTATTTTTTATTTCCCTGTTTTTTATCGCTTTGAATGGGAAAAAAAACATGTGATAGTGGAGAGGAAGCATCTGCATTCAGCTTTGGAGCACATTGGCAGAGGCAACATACCCGAAGAGCATGAAAGAGGTTAACCGAGACATATGTCTACGTGTTCCCCTCTTTCTGTTTGATCCCGGACATTGAACCTCCGTGTTGGATTCATCTGGTGTAGCTCACCTAATTTAAGACTGAATTATTTCAAGAATATATATATATGTAACATCAAGTCGTATCGATGCAGCCGTGCCCAAACTTGGACCCAAGTTGCTGGGATTTTAGCAAGGATGGCTCGGTCCAATATTTTATTCATCTGCTCACTTTTGGTAGGGCTGAGAATGGCCCTAGTACGTATGAAGCTATATCCCCACCTGGTGAAGTATCATTATCTTCCAATTTTTAATGAACACGCGTTGCGGCGTTTCCCAGTGAGCTTACAACTTAGATGCCCCCTTGAGATACAAAATATATTACCTATTGCGGTAGCTCTTTTGTACAACGTTGCATCTAAAATCCTCAGCACACTTCAACACTAATATCCTGTAGAAGACGACAGAACTAACTCTACAATGCGGCTGACAGAAAGAGGAAACACATACGTATCGACATGGATCGTCACGAGCAATCGATGAAACTCTTAATTAAATGTATCTGGGTCCTCAAGAAGAAAAAAAAAAAAAGAAGAAGAAGAAGAAGAAACAACTGTTTCTGTACTGGCTGTTTCATAGTCATAGTCATCTAGTGGCAGTCTGGGAGGAAAGGGGATAAACGGAGTAAGCACACATCCATCCCGGGGTCCTGGAAACTTCCGAGGTTGACTAGTGATTTGTCAGCTGGGGACTCGATAGATAACTACCTAGGTATATTAGACAGACTAGCAAATTTCTCTCTAATCAAACTAAAATATAAGGGTTGATGTTTAAACCGTGCAGAACTATGGAATAGATCTTTTGATGATTTTTATTCCGGTAGTCCCTGTTACAATAAGGTGTTTTGCCCTTGATGATTGTGAATATGTATTCCCTAAATACATATATCGAGGTGATGAGAATGGTCACCGGACTGTGGTCGCTGGTGGTGTGGGTAGTCGAATGACTAGCAATCTGTGGCCTCTAGCTAGCTGGTACAGCCCTCAATGGCATTTCGAATCAGTCACATCTCATTTGTCATATACCTTTGTTCAATGAGATGTGAGGATGTCAAGGATCATGATATATAGAACTTGAACCAGATCACCTGTGGAGCCCGTCTCCAAGTTTCTAGTGTAAAAGAGTATTCCAGTCCATGTATCACACTGGAACGGCATCAAGATGTCAAACATGAGTTGTGTCAAGAGACTGAGGTCTTTTTTAGTTCATACAAGGAAGATCGTGAGACACAGCGACTGAAAGTAGATCCATATTATATCTTTACTTCGCCTCTTGCTTTCTCCGTGTAAGATATATGATCAAGTGTGAGTTTCACATTCGATTCTTCTGATCCCTCTCTTATACGCATTTCTATGTATCACAGCTGTGATTCGATTTAAGGGAAGTGGCTGCTTTTACTTAGGTTTGAATAAAGAAGTTATTTATGCGGTTAGCAGACCCTCTCCAGATTGATATACATGTTGCTCATTCTTTCCTGACTTGTGAGACGCTGCTATATTATTGATTTCAAAAATTTGGACCAGGCATCCCTCGGTTCTGATGTATCCTTTCCCAAAAATTGATTATCTCCTGACACAAGGATGCGATATCACCATGCGTACATCCAAAGGCCAGGCTGTATATTAGGGAAATGTATGCATGGGCTGTACAGCGTAGAATTGCGCCACGTTGGACATGTTAATTTGATTGAGTAGTCTGCTAGAAGTATTTTCACCGCCGTATCATGAAATATCTCTATGGATCTATGGCGAAACTCAAAATCCATGCTCTTGAACATGCCCAACGTGCCGCTATAATACGCCATAGGTGTGCAAATCATCCACAAGTGATCTGATTTTGCTGACATCCAACATTCTCGAGAGACATAAATAAGAGTTTCATTCCGGTTCTTACTCTTCTTTCTCTTCACCCTGCCTATTCTCACTTCTGAGTGTACCGGCAAATTCAATCCTGGCACCGCGTAAGGGATCACTCCGTGACGCCTATTTCACAAGTCAATACGGTCCATATCCATGGCTTCGAACCAAGATCAAGACATCAATCCCATGATGTCTGCTGCTATGTCGGCCGGCCTCCAGCCGCCCTATCAAGTTGATACGGATGGAGATGTCGTTCTCTTCACACCCAAGACTCCATTGATTGACATCAGCAAAGGCAATGTGCCCGGAAACTACGCCCGCTTTCAGGTCTCATCGAAGCATCTCGCACTTTCATCGGCTTATTTCAAGCGAATGCTGAAAGATCGCTGGGCCGAAGGGGAAGCTCTTCGAACAAATGGGTCTGCTGAGATTCCCGTCAACGACTGCAAACCAGACATCCTCCTGATCATTTTGAATCTTATCCATGGACAGTTACGACAAGTCCCTCTCAGATTATCTCTACAGCAATTGAGTGATATCGCCGTGGCCACCGACTTTTTTCAATGCCATGAGGTAGTCGAGGTATTTGCTGGTATATGGATAAAAGATCTCTGGTGGCCTCTTTCGATTCCGGGTTGGAGCCCTTTTTCTTTGTCTTTGGAAGATATGAGGACATGGTTGATGATCTCCTGTGTCTTCAAGTCCCCTGACGTCTTTGAAGCAACAACAAGGACGGCCATGCGGAAAGGCACAGGACCATTCGACACAAGCTATCTCCCAATTCCAAAATCCGTCAAAGGTGTGTGAAAAACGGTCGATTGATTTTGAGATCTATCTGAGACATCACTAATCGTGTACTTCCAGACGCAATCGATCAAGCCAGACAGAAATGCATCGAAAAATTTGAAGTCATGATCAAAAAGCACATCTTAAATCTGTTGAACGGCCCGATTTGCTGTTCTGGAAAATGTGATGCAACACAGCTTGGCCACCTACTCAGTAGGATGACGAAAGAGAAGATATTTTACTCGCTCGACACAGCCTGTACATCTGAATCTGATCATGTTCCATCGATCACCGTCAGTATCTGCGAGCTCAGTCCTGACTTCATCTACACCATGATCACGGAATGGGAAATGGATGTTCCCTGCCGTCCCGCTAGTAGATGTTTCAACAAAGCGAATCCTTTGGGGGATGAAGGGGAATTGCGAGCAACGCAGATTTACCAGGAGCTGACTGGGCTGGAAGACCTTTCGCTTACCTCCTAAATCAGCAACTTACATGGGTAGTATGAACTCTTTGCTGCGAGGTGCCGTGCCCTCTGCAGGCTGTTTTCTAGATAGTTAAATCACTAATATGGTGCACTGTGCATTCATTCCAATTCATTCGCAAATACTAGAATCACTAGATTGGACAGCTAATATGCATCAGTATACACAGGTACTAGCCAATTCCAGTTCCTATGTACAAATTCCCGGCAACAGATCTATCTATCAAACGCAGCTGAATGCCAAAATTAGATCCCCAGATGCAGGTCCTACAGGCCAACGTGGCTTAATTGCCAACGGAAGTTATGCTATAACCCTAAAGGTCGTGTCATACTCGCCAGAAACGCTTAGAACCGAGGGTTTCCCACATTGATATAGACGCGACTAGCAAACAAGCCAACATTATTTGTATTGAGAATCTAGTAGGGGATACTGTAATCCATCCATATATGCTCGTTTCAGCTGTGCTATACTTGAGATGTGAAAAAGTCTCGGGAGCTACCTTAGTAATTGCACCATTGGGACCTCGGGATCATGGCTACTTTTCATATTTGAAGGGAGCATTAGTCAATATACCGGCCCAGCAATACTCTTCAAGAGTATTGAGTGGTGATTGGGGTCATAGCGGTTGCTCAAAAGAGTCTCGATTGAAACACAAGGGAAATGTTTCGACGATTTTGTCCGATAACCGATGACACTCGCTGATAGGAAGCCAGAGAATTTCAAAATCCCTGCCTACTACCAGTGGCTGAGGAACGGAGTTCCTCGGTAACGAAAATTTAAAGACGTCGTAGCAGGTTTAAATCAGGTCGTATTCTCTCCTTTTGCGTCAAACCGTGCTTTCTTAGCTCGTCGTTTAATTTCTCGCTTGGACAGTGGCTTGTCGGCGTCCTCGGCGACAGGCTCAGAACTGATAGAAGCCTTCCTCTTGAGATTGTCTGCTCCATTTTCTGGCTGTATGGGCCCTTTTGCTTTTGGGGCGTTCTTTTGCTTTGTTGCGGGTCCTTCGGATTTCGCTTTCTCCCCTCCGTGGACGATATCCACGATGCCTCGCCAACTGGTTCGCTTCAACTTGGCCAAAGCTGTGACCTTCCGCGACTCTTCGCAGACTGCTTCCTTTCCGCGCTCTTGTGAAAGACCCCAGACGCAGGCAAGATTAATCACGTCCCACGGAGCTCGTAGACTCAAGGCTCTTCTGGCTTCACTGGAAACGATGATGCCTCGACCGCGTGTCGCGCGGATCAAGGAAGTTGCATTCCCAATGAGGTTTCTTCGGGCATCAAGTCCACTTCCCGTGATACCTGGCCCATAGCAGATCTCGATACGGATTCCACGTGATATTGCCGCGGACAGCATTTTGAATTTGAAATGGTATGGAAGTCGCACCGAGAGATCCACGGAGATCACGTCGCATTCCAAGTTGGTGCACGCATTTAGAAGTGACTTCTCATTTGTGGGACGGAGAGCAACGATATCGTACGCTTGACTCAGGGCATTTAGGCGCTGATTCTGCGCGGGGTCGGCCAGAGTCAGGTTCAACCGGGTCAGCAGTTGGAGGGATTTCGGCGCGTTTGTTGGAAGAGGAGGAGGAGCTAGGGTTGGGGGAAGCTTCCCGTTAATTGTTTGAGACAGTGCAACCGTAGTGTAACCAACTAAAAAGTCAGGTCAGTCCCTCATGTGCTCTAAGTTGCGGATCTTGTGCCGCGGAGCGGAATGAATGACTTACGTTCGGCGAGGAAATTCAGAGTGTGGGGTACCTCGGGGTCATCGGGGCTGTAAGGTACATTCAGATCGTAAAACATGTTGGGTTTAAAAGAAGGCCAGCCCTGCCCGTGGGAGTTATTGCTTTGACTTGTCGAGGCTCTTGGTCACATCGAACTGTCCCAAAAAGGCAATCAGAAAATCGAACGGATTAACAAAGGATCCGCCATTTTGCACTAACTACTTTGGGTCGGGTCCCCACAAACCTCTCAGATCCCGTGACCTCAGGCGGAACGGATCTCATTCTACTGATCATATCACGACATTATCTCACTCTGTCCATCCCATTGCTCAAGGCTTCTTGTGAGCACTGTGTTTGGGCTGATCAGTCGCTGGGCTTGCTGCTCCCTTCCACCTAAGTCAAGCTAACCCCCGGCTCCTCGCTCCGTCACACGGCCGCGCCCCTCGTGACCCCGCCGCACATCTTTCAATTGTGGGCGCACTCGAAAACCGCCTGTCATCGTCAAGATGGCGCGTGTCTATGCCGATGTCAACGAGCATATGCCTCGGTCCTACTGGGATTACGACAGCGTCAACATCTCTTGGGGTGTCCTTGAAAATTATGAAATCGTTCGCAAGATAGGTGAGAAATGATCAAATCCCATCCGTCTGTAGCTTGTCGGAGATGTTTGCCGCAAGCCTGAACTGGGGGTGAAATTGAAAAACAAACCTTCTCACTATATCCACTTCAGGTCGCGGAAAGTACTCGGAGGTTTTTGAAGGCATCAACGTCGTCAACTACCAGAAATGCGTTATCAAGGTTCTCAAGCCTGTCAAGAAGAAGAAGATCAAGCGTGAGATCAAGATTCTGCAGAATCTCGCAGGTGGACCCAATGTTGTGGCTTTGTTGGATGTTGTTCGTGACAACCAGAGCAAGACTCCTAGTCTGGTCTTCGAAGCTATCAACAACACCGATTTCCGCACACTGTACCCCCGCTTTTCCGACTACGATGTTCGTTTCTACGTTTTCGAGCTGCTCAAGGCGCTGGACTTCTGCCACAGCAAGGGTATCATGCACCGGGATGTGAAGCCCCACAATGTCATGATTGATCACGAGAAGCGCAAGGTTAGTGGGCTTATCAATAAGTTCTTGCAGAAACTGTTGGTTCTAACTTATTATAGCTTCGTCTGATCGATTGGGGTCTGGCTGAGTTCTACCACAAGGGTACGGAATACAACGTCCGTGTTGCTTCTCGTTATTTCAAGGGCCCCGAGCTGCTGGTTGATTTCCAGGAATACGACTATTCTTTGGATATGTGGTCCCTGGGTGCTATGTTCGCATCCATGATCTTCCGTAAGGAGCCTTTCTTCCACGGAGGTAGCAACACCGACCAGTTGGTCAAGATCGCCAAGGTCCTTGGTACTGAGGAGCTCTTTGAGTATTTGGACAAATACGACATTGAACTGGACCCGCAATACGACGACATCCTCTCCCGTTTCCCCCGGAAGCCGTGGCACTCGTTTGTCAACGCAGAGAATCAGCGTTTCATCAGTGACGAGGCCATTGATTTCCTTGACAAGCTTCTGCGTTACGACCATGCTGTAAGTTGCTCCAACATCTCTACAAGTTGCCCATACTGACTTATCTTCAAAGGACCGCTTGACTGCTCAGGAGGCCATGGCACACGCATACTTCGACCCTGTGCGTGCTGATGCAGCGGCCCTTAGCCACAACAATGTAACACTGCCATGAATTTCTCTCGCATAAACTGGTGATGACCATGGCTCTGATCTCTTTACTGTGATGCCCGGGTTTCCAAGTTCTTCGCATGCTGCCATCAAGATTGCGTCGGGCATCACGACAATTACGTACCTTTTGCATTTGAAATTTGCCGATATGAACGGTACAACGATGATCGAAACATGAAACGAGCTTGGTCTTCGTACCCCCTGTTCCTCCTTTTCACTGGCCCTTCGAATTATGGGCTGCGGCAAACAATCAAATCCTGAATGAAGACGACTTTGATGACAAGACATCATGACATTTAATTTGCTGGGTCTCTCCAACTCTCTTATCGCCTAGGTCGTTTGGCGTGTCAATGAGCGTGATAAACCAACGTCTTAGATGGGGAAATCACTCTCCTCTTTCATCTTTTTCTATTTGTATAGCGCTGGTCGTGGGTTTCCCTAATTGATTTCTCCCTTGTTAGTTGAATTGGTGTTTTGGCCTTTCTGCTGGGTGCTTCGTGTTTCAAGGGATTTCCCTAAGACAACCCATTGCATTTTCTTAACGCTTCTCTTTTATGAATGAAACATTGGACGAGATTGAAAAAAAAAAAACAGTTGAAAAAAAAAGGGAAAAGACCTAGAAATCCTCGAAACCTCAAGAGGTGTTATATACCGTAGGTGTTGGATTGTTCGATATATGATGGGTACCCAGATATGTCTCACCCCATGTATATTATTCATCGCCCTAGACTCGAGATCAGACCCAATGGCTGATATTGAGTATGAATCATCTCCGACTGAGTCATATAAGACTGCCAATGTTGTTATAGATCAGATCACCCGTTGGCTCAAGCGTATCACGTGAGGGCTATCGCAATGTTGAATAAATTAAAAAACGAATACAATGTTGTAGCAAGGAACTCGCGAGAAAAAAAAACCATAAGATATTCAATGATATTGAATCCTTTCATGAGCGTTGACACATAAACGCGCTGCAGTGACCGACTCCACCGAACCTCCCAAGTCCGCTCCCATTCGTTGTGGGAAATTTAATTGCCCGCATTTCGCACAACCCCTCCTCATACCTCTTCATCTCTCAAGATACTTATCCGGCGATTCGTGGCGCGATCGGCGCCTTGGAGATTTACTCCTCAATATCGTGCATTCTCTAGGATGGCTCAGAACTCTGCCCAAACCCCTAGTGAGTTCCATGACATGACTCATTCTCAGTCGCAGAAGCTTACAGTGAACAGCGGGTGAGCCAGCGGCTCCCGTGACCAGCGCACCCCAGGTCAACGAACAGACACCCTCCCAGATCGTCGATGCCGCGAAAGAGCCCCAGAGTCAGAACCAGGGCGAACCGGCCGGAGCTCCCAAGGTGAAGACCGAGAAGGAGTGTATGTTGCCAAAATCTATCTTGGGCCCTTGCCTCGGAAGTCCTTGCCATATAACAAGCATTTGCTGATACTGTGGGTGGTGTCTAGTGGAGAAGGAGCGCAAGAAGGCCGAGAAGAACAAGAAATTCGAAGAGAAGAAGGCGGCCAAGGCCAAGGCTGCCGCCAGCAAGGCCG